TCAGAATAGGCACTCAATAGCAGTCATACAACGGATAAATTAAGTTTTAACTATGTTTTGTAGTAAGTATCTTTTCAAAATGTTTGAAAGTCAAATTCAATACCAAAACGTTTTAAGCTCTGTTCTTGGGAAATACCTTATTTGAAGGCCTTTCCTATTGACTTTTAAGTTTTATTTAGTAAACACTTCATAAATGCCAGAGTACTGTTATGAACAAGATGAACCTAATCTCTGCCTATAGTTTCAATGACAGAGGCATTTTTAAAATACTGACAAACTGTGATTAGAATTATGGAAAGGCAAGAGGAAACAACTTTTTGCCAAACAATACTCCATACTAAAAGTTAATTGTTTTGAATCATTTCTGTTTCTATAAATGTTTTCAGGAGACTAAAAGGCAGTTTTTAATATTGACCAACATGGGGAAATGAGAAGAGATTTTGAAATTTTCAAATTATAAATAGGCCCTGTCTATACACAATAGAATCAAGAAAGATTTGGCAAGTTTTGATAGGCTGATTCAATATGACAGACTCACCATAGTGAGCAGCACTTGGTTTTAGAATGTGGAACATCCATTTAGGTACTTCTGATAGCAGCAGGTCTTTACTGAATGGACCCTCCTGGCTTCTCAATCCCACTGGCTTTATAGTCTGAACCCTGCCCACCCACAATTTCTGGGGTGAAGCATGTGACCTAGGACTAAGCCAATCAGTGCATCATAGTCTACCTTAGAACATCCGTCAGCTAATGACTAGCACATGAACCAGTGAGAGCCATGAAGAGCCCCTGAGATACTGGGAGGGTGCTTCACATGGGTCTGCAACTGGCCCTTGAGGCTTGAATTTCTGCAGACAAGTTGTTTCCAAAGAAGACAGGTCAAACTGAAGGTGATAGATCTTAGAGAAAACCTCATCCTGCTTATATCAGATGAACTCAGATTCAGCTGTGCCAGAAACCCAATCTACACCTGTGGACTTTTCAAGTATTGCAGCCACAGATTTTATTTCCTTCCAGTTTTCTCTTAGTTACAACCACAAGAGTCCTAATACCATCTCTGAGTGAATCTCATGAAAGGAAAAAATAATTTCCTAATTATTAACTTTATCTGAAAAATATGTACAGAAATGACATGAACTAGTATTTCCAACATTGGCATATATTTCTCCCCCTACCTGTGTAACTCACAAAAATGGAAAATGTAGATGCTATTCAAAGAAACTGAGCCTTTTCTTTAAAATGATTATACTTAAAAACAATCTGTAAAAATTGCCACCTGAAAGTATAAAGCAAAAATTTATGTATTGTATTTTCTAACTCTGAAAGTATAAAGCAAAATTTATGTATTGTGTTTTCTAACTCTGTAGACTCATTTTTTCCCCACTTTAATATTTGTTTTACAGCTGAGTCATGACATATAATTAAAATCCTAAGACTCATAATTATAAGCGCTGTTGTAGTGTAATTGTTAAATTTTTTTGATAATTTCATCACTAATTTGCTTCTTAGAATTTCCAAATATCACTTTCCTGTAACAAATATGATCATTGTCAGTCTTCAGTCAATATACTCATTTTGTTTGGTTTCTAATGAAAAGTCTGTTGTAATTCTTATTCTGTTCCTCTATAGGTAAGGAGTGTTTCCCTCTGGGTTCTTTCAAGATTTTCTCTCTCCTTTGGTTTCTGAGGCTTGAATATGGTATGTCTAGGGGTATGTGTGTATATACAGGTATGTGTGCATATATAAAATCTGGTAGATCAGTCCCAGATAATATAAGGTTCAGGCAAAGTTTTTCCCTTTGGAAAACAGGCCTTTGTCATGGAGAAAACTCTGAGATTATTTCACAATGATTGTCTTCTCTTCCCTCTCCCAGAGAAACAAGGTGTTCTTTCTTGGATCTTTACTGTGAGAACCTGGTAGAGCTCATAATGGTAAAACTTATGAAAGTCAAGGACTACCCCAACAACACTGTGGCACACAGTTTCTCACTCTCCTGTTAGTCCACACTTAGCCTCCAGTAATTCATCAAAGCTACCAACTAAATCTTCCCCACCAGTCTATGGTTCCAGAAGCTTCTGTGCCAAATAAGCAGAGGTTGGCTATCAGTCTTCGGTTTACCTGTCACTCCAGATTTTGGGGTGGCAGTTTGACCTGAGGAGTCCAAGAAAAGTGTTGATTTTCATTTTGTTCAGCTTTTCCTTTTCCTTGTTGTAAAAATTAGAAATCCCACTCTTTTTTTTTTTTTTTTTTTGAGACAGAGTTTCGCTCTTGTTACACAGGCTGGAGTGCAATGGCGTGATCTCGGCTCACCGCAACATCCGCCTCCTGTGTTCAGGCAATTCTCCTGCCTCAGCCTCCTGAGTAGCTGGGATTACAGGCACGCGCCACCATGCCCAGCAGATTTTTTGTATTTTTAGTAGAGACGGAGTTTCACTGTGTTGACCAGGATGGTCTCGATCTCTTGACCTCGTGATCCACCCACCTCGGCATCCCAAAATGCTGGGATTACAGGCGTGAGCCACCGCGCCCGGCCGAAATCCCACTCTTTCTACATCTCAGAACAAGTATTAGGGATTCTTAAAATATACAGTAGTAATTATGTTGAAGCTTGAAAAGCCCTGGCCCTGGAATTATGTAGTTCTAGATGTGGATGTAATCTAGACCCATTACACTGTCATTTATTCAGCAAGGACTATGGAATTTCATCTTTCATCTTTCTAATAACCCCAGAGATAGATCATCTTAGATCAACCTTACAGAAGGATCTAGTACAATCTTCCTACTCTGTGGGTTCTAGTTAACAGCATTGCATAAGCTGTTAACAGGTGTTACATTTTTTAAAGTGCCATGGAAAAATAATTGGAACAAATTTTATTAAACAAACATCTCTCTATTAAAGAACTACATAGGGAATTTAATGTGCTGCATATTAATTCAGGCGAGATGTGTAGACATCATTTCCCAAAATAAGTTGATCACAGGATCATTAGTTTTCTCATGGAGCATCTGGTAGAAGGGGTGTTTTGTGGAATACTTTGGGAACTGTCGGTATGATAGGAAACATGCAAGATTTAGAGCAAGATGGATATGAATTTGAATTACGACTCCACTACTTATTGCTGAGGCAAATTACTTCATTTCTAAGGGCCTCATATTCCTCCTCTATAAATTAAAGACATAATACTTCTTTAGTGATATATCAGGTAATATTACAGCAACAATAGCATCTACTTCAGGGATTAATGTGGAGATTCTATGATATAAAGCATGGGCCTGTCACACAATAAACCTTCAATAGTTGTTAAGGTTATTTTACTATAATCATTATCATCATCAGGCCCCAAAACAGTGGCAAGCTCTTCCTCATATGAGAACCTGTTTTCCTCTGAATCAATATAAAGACTTAAACAAATGGATAGTGTTACCCAGTCATGAGTACTTGAACAGCATCTGGCCTGATCTACTGTGTCAGAATGATGTGTGTAGGAGTGTGTCTAAATGTAAGTGTCTACAGCCTATGTCACCACTGAAATGTCATTCCATGATTGGTATAATTCTTAGAGAACATTTCATAGGCCTTCCAAATATGGCCCAGGAATAAATTCTCTTCTGTGAAAAGTGTAGGGTCGGATCCAGAAGCATTTAATCTCTATAAGCAAGCATTTAGAAGTCTTTTATTTGAAACAAATTACTTGCATTAATTGTCTAGTAAGTCATTTTGATTGTACTTTGGAGTCACAGCCAAACCCTATTGGGCTGTGATATGTTTTACACCCTATAATGTCAACATTTTAGAAGGGTGAGCTGCCATGGAGAACAATTGTGGTATGATATCTGATTCCTGTGTGGCTGGAGCTGCTCAGTGCTGCATTCAATACTATAATCTTGAACATGTTGATTTGGAGCAATATGCATGATTAGGTGGTTTAATTGCATATTGTAAAGAAAGCTGTGACCTTTCCAGTCCCCTCCTGGATGTGGCATTGTGCTATTGGGAGAAGGAGGAGACAAATGTGTGTGGGGAAGCTTGACAACAGCAGTGTTCTTTTATGTAGTTATTCAAGTATACTCAATACTTTTTAAAACCATGTGCACAATATCTCAAATATTAGTGGACATCTACTGCTTAAAAAATTTTTGTATGACTCAAGTTGCCTTGAGCAAGTGTCGAATAGCCTTACAAAAGTTGTAAATATTGAGTGTACAGCATCAACGTGTACAATTCTGTCATTTTTAGCCAGTCAGGGAAAGCAATACAACCTTAAAAATTAAAGACGCAATATTCTTGTCTATCAATTCTTTAGCTAAAAAAATTATAGTTTAATAATGCCTTAACCGTTCCATATGGCATCAGAAATTAAGACATTAGTATAAAGTCTGTCATTTGCAAGATGTTTTACAGTTTAAAAACTACTTTCATGTTCATATAAACATAATCAAATATTATATTTAATTATGAGAGAAAGCAATCTGAGACAAGACAAAACAGGCATCATTTTCCCAATTTTACAGTTAAAACAGCAAAGCAGAAATGTTCAGTGATGATTTGCAGTGGTAGACTAAGAACTTAAACCCAAGTCTCTTGGTACCAACATCAGAGTTTCCTCTCCATCTAGGGCATTATAAAATCTGAAGACAAGACCTAGAGTTTTGAAATACAAATGAATTCTGCCAGAAAGCTAGATTCTTTCTCTACCGTGCATACAGCCAAGATTCCTAAGAACAAAATGAAACATCTTGACATCTTTTGCTAAAGTTACCTAAGGATTAGTTTGGATCAGCCTGCACAAGATAGAATGTACTAGAAGGGAAGCAATTACCCAGACAATCCAGACCTTAATCATTTTCACCTAAAGTATTATGATAATTGAGGCAAAGGTATATTTGAAAACTAAATTGTGGGTATAATAGACTTGATTGCTTCCATGGCTTTATATTTGAATGCATTCCCACATAAAACCACTAGGCACTGTTATTCTCTGTCCCAAAGCATAAATTACCTCCAAAACAGCATCCTCTGGGTCGTTGGCTGCCGCTCAGTAAATGACTGTGCCTGGGGCAGTATCTTCCAGGATATAAATCTCAGTAACTGCCAGAAAATGTACAACAGATGTGCTTGAATGAGCATCACCGCCATAAGCCCAAAACCCCTCATCCAATCCTGGATTTTAGATAAAACTTAAGACATTGCACTTGCTCAGCACAGATGTTTTTATAGTAGTCCCATTAAACCTACAATAATAATAATATACTATTTGTCAAATGTCTATTATGTGTCAGGTATAGAGCAATGAGATTTATACATTTGAACAGGAACAATGCTGAACATTTTTTGAGTGCTTATTAATTGCTAAGCACAACATCATTGGTGACTTCATTATTATTTCCATTTTACTAAGGTTTAGAAAGATTGAATAACTGGCTCAAGGTCACATAGCTAATACATTAATATTGCCTAATTATTTTATTAAAGTGTGCCTTGTTCTTGTTCTTAATTTTGCTCTCTTCCCATATGTTTTTAAAACAGTGAGGAATACAAACTTGCAAATTTGCAAGTGGAATCCCTCTTCCAAGGAACAGGAACCTTGAGGCAGTAAGAGATCCTTAAATGTCTGAGGGGAAGAACTTTCCAGGGGAAACTGCTGCACCATTTTGCCAAGAAAACAGGATTTGTGGATAGCAAAGGGGTCCATGGGCCTACTTAGATAGTAGCCAGGACCTCTCATCTGATGAGCAAATGCTCATTAGGTCTCCACAAGCACTCTGGGACCAAGCTCGCAGTTTTAGAAATCAGAAGAGCATAATTTCACCTTGGATCTTCCCAGGAGGACTTTACCATCTGCCTTGGGGAAGGGAAATAAGGGAGATATTTACTGAGCACCTACTGTGTACCTAGCACTATGCTTAGCACTTTAAAACCCTATCTCAAGTGAGCCTCATCAAGATGCGATTAATATCTCAGTTTAATCAATGGGGAAACTGAGGCTTAGACAGGACAAGTAATTCTCTCCGGTTAGTGGTTACTCCAACATCTGAGCTGCTAATGTGTTTTTTTTATACAATAGAAAACATGTGGGTATTAAATATTTGACTACACAGAAAGAGACAGAGATTAGAAAGAGAGAAATTGAAAGAGATACATACATGGTGAAAAAGAAAACAGAGCAAGAAGGAGCAAAAAAGCCACGGTCCTTGTCCTTGGTGAAGCTTCGAGCTTAATGATATAGACATACTGTTAATTAAAAATTCACACACATAAGAGAATAATTTTTAGTACACAATCATCAAACAATAAATGAATAATTTGCAACACTGAGAAAGTTACCTCAACTTTCTAGGTCTGTTACCTATGTAATGAAAATAAGAGTAAAACTTATCTCTAATGCTGTGAGCATTACATAAGTATTAAAGCTCTTAGGACACTGCCCAGTACATAGTTGGCGCCCAGTTAAATCTCTTAGGACTGTGCCTAGTACATAGTTGGCGCCCAGTAAGTGTCAGCCATTTATCATTTCTATTGTTACTGTCATTCTTATCACTGTTATAGCCATGATGTTTTGCGAGTACAAGAGGCACAGGGCACAGTCCAAGGGGCACATATGTAGACATAGTCACCAGAGCCCTCTTCCCGCAAGAGAAGAGCCTCTGTACCTTGGTCACCCTGGGCAAGAGATCCAGCAAAGGTGTGCGGTTCATTCACATCTGCAATCTGGATTAAAATGGTCTGCGAGGCTGTTGCCACTTGGTTGTCTTTGGCATAGATTGTCAGGGAATAGTGTCACCGTCTCAAAGTCCAGCTTAGGTACTCCGGCGGTGAATAACTACATTTTTAAAAAACGAAGAATAAGTCAGTGAATGATTGGCTTCATAAGAATGTAGATGGAATATTTTGATCTATAATCCCCAATATCAGTCAGCATTCTTTAAAGACATAAAAATCTTGTACTTAAAAAGCACAGTGATCTGATTTTTTTTAATTTCCATGAGCCAAGAATTCACTTATGCTATATCCAATAGTTTCTCATTCATTTTTCCATCTTTCCATGATTCTTCCTAATAACAAAGTTAACCATTTATTGAACTCCTTCCTCACTTTGTCAAAGATTATCCTGAGCATTTTACAAACATTTCATTCTATCCTTCAAATTGCAAGTGGCTGCATTTTACAGGTGCAGAAATTGAGACTTGCAGAGCTAAGCTAATTGGCCAAGTTTTCACAGAGAGAAATACAACAAATCTGGATTCCACCTGACTTCATGCTCATGCTCTTCATCACCAGTCTAAGCTGCAGAGCACCCAGAATGGATGAAAGGCCCAGATAATAGCCCCTCTTTTCCCTCCCCTGTTTAGTCACCCAGGTCTCCTGTTTCCTGTGTCCTTTGTGGTTTTCACTTGGTTTTCGAACTGCTCTGTTCAGGGACCGCTTGAGGTTGAGCATCAAGAAAAATGGGTTCCAGTTTCACCACCAGAAGGAAATGGCCTAAGACTTTGGCCATGGCCTTTCATGTCTCTGGATTAGATGTCTTCGTCCTTACATGAAAACCTTGTAAGTTCTGTTGCTTATGTCCTTCCAGTGTCTGTCATGATGCAGCTAGGTTAGGGAAAGCTTGTTTCTAAAGCTTTCTTATTAGTCAAGTAATAGAAAACAAAGATTTTTTATTGAGTGGCAAAAGCCACTGGAAGGGGTTAGATATTTGTCTTTGGGCATTCTATGTCAAACCATGAACGCTTTGTCTAAATGATTATGGGTTTTAAGGCAATACTAATAGCTTATAAGTATTGAGCACTCACTATGTACCAACTCTTAAGCGTTTAATATTAATTACATTATTTAACCCTCAGGGAAACAGTGTGATTGATACTTTTATTGTGCCCATTTTACAAATGAAGAAACAGAGGCCTAAAGAGACCCCTAGCAAGAAACAGAGAGGGGGGATAAAAATCCAGACTTTGCACCAAAATCCATGTTCTTAGCCACAAGGTACACTACCAAAGTGGCCACCTTCTCAGTAATAGCATCACCGACTCTCAGAAGGAAGGAGCATAAGGTCACCCTAGCAACATCATATTAACAAAAGCTAACCTTTGCGCTAGGCATTGCTCTCAGCCCTTTACCTCACTTAATCATCAAAATAAACCCGTGAGAAAGGTAGTCTTACTACCAGCCCCATTTCACAGGTGAAGAAATTGAAGCTTAGATTATAAAATATAGCCTAAAAAGTCATGCTGCAGGAAGAAGCAGAACCTGGACCTGACCTGGGCCCATCTGTCCTCAGAACCCTTGCTTTTATCACAATTACATGAAAAGTCAGTTATACGTTAATATTTTACAGCTACACTCTGCTGAGCACTTATCGTAGACTGGACATTTTATCTCTTCGATTCTCACAGTTACCCCATAGAATAAATGCTATTATCATCCTAATGCTGCTGATGAGGAAATTGAAGCTCAGAAGTTAAACACTTTGCTCAAGGCAACATAGCTGTTGAGTGACAGAGCTGAGATTTAAAGCTAAGTCTTTCTGACTCTAAATTTTTTTTTTTTATCATACCCCAATGGCTCCTGATAATTTAATCCCATAGCTTCCAGCTTTGCTTAAGCAAAGCCTTGTCCTCAAGGAGCTCCCTTACCCAAGAAGTGTAACCCTGGGCTCAGGCTGGCCCTTCAGGTGTGTTTCCCACTGTTGCGGGAGCCCCTGGAGACAGCAAGTGTGTTCATTGCGCTCCCTAGTATCTTACATGGTATCAGGCTTCCCATTCAATTTCAACAAGTATTTCTTAAATCTATGCAAATGCCTATTCTTTACATGGAAAGAAGACAGGAAGATGGTTTAAGTCTCCATCTGGCAGATTACTCCCATCCAGGGAACAGGCAGTACGCGCAGAAAGGGTAACTTGGGTTCATTTTCCCAATCTGCCTATGCAACCCCTCTTATGTTGCTCAATGACAGGTAGCAATTTGAAAATTACATAACTGGAGTGTGCCTTGTCTCATTTCCATTGATTTATCTATACAATCAGTTCACTTCAAGCTTTGCTATTGTTTCTCCAGAGACTAGCTTAGTGTCTGCTTGGTGGTTGTTGGTTTTTGTTTGACTGCCTGACCAATCGCCTTTCCTAAGCTCAATCAGTGTTTTGCAAAACAAACAAGCATCTATGCTGCAAGGAAAGAAGTTCAGCAAAGAAAAATGATATGCTGGGATATGCTAAACCCCAAATAGAACAGTATATCCGTCTTTGTACTGCAACGTTGTAGAAACGGATATTAACTCATTTTGGTTAGCCTTTATCTGCGGGTGTATTTGCATGTTATGAAACTGCTGCATAATTGAACTACTTCTAAAGCTTGCCTTTAATACAGTTATGATTATGTGGCCACATCTTTCTTAGTTTTTTATTACCTGTAATCTGGCCATAATAATGCTAGATATTGAAGTATAAGTATATTTATTACAGTAACAGCTACTGTGTGTTAACTGCTTGATATGGACAAAACAGTAAGACAGCACTTCCCATACATTATCTTTTAGAATCTTCTTGCTAATCCCTGAGTGAGCTGGTACTATTATTGTTAATCTCATTATATAGAAAAAAATAATTGAAGCACAGAAAGTCAAGTAAATTACCCAAGGTCATGTTTCTTCTGACTGAAGGAGATGTGGTTGAAAGCCAGGTTTATCAGACCCCCAGATCAGTGCTTAGAACAGCTATGCTCCCTACCCTCTCACACACACACACACACACACACACACAGCAAAACTACTGAACACTCTTTGCCATTATTCTGCTGCTATTTAGACTTATAACAAAAATCTGGGCCGGGCGCGGTGGCTCACGCCTGTAATCCCAGCACTTTGGGAGGCCGAGGCGGGTGGATCACGAGGTCAAGAGATCGAGACCATCCTGGTCAACATAGTGAAACCCCGTCTCTACTAAAAATACAAAAAATTAGCTGGGCATGGTGGCGTGTGCCTGTAATCCCAGCTACTCAGGAGGCTGAGGCAGGAGAATTGCCTGAACCCAGGAGGCGGAGGTTGCGGTGAGCCGAGATCGTGCCATTGCACTCCAGCCTGGGCAACAAGAGCGAAACTCCGTCTCAAA